CAGGTGGTTTGTTTCTGATTTTATGTAAGTTTGTTTGCCGGTTAGTTCACCTTGTTTGCTGAAAACGTGGGTGAAAAATTTGTTAAACAGAGAACATTTTTGTTCATTGTTTACTGCTGTTTCAGTTGTGTCCGGTGATTGATTAAGGAACTATTCGTCTGGTAGGGGATGCTTTTTGTGTATCGATTTCAAGTATTTCTGAAGATCAGACATGCGGCGGCTCTTGAATACTTTAGCTTCGAATATGGCTTGATCCATTTTGATTTCTTCTTTCAGGCTTTTTTCAGCTTTTTTGATTTTCAGGAGTAGCGAGAGTGAGTTTGCTTTTGCGTATTTACGCTTCATTGTCGCGACTATCTTCATTTGATGTGAGGTGGATGATCTAATCCAGGGTGGAATTTCTGCCCTGTGTTTGGTGACTCGGGGTATTTTTTCGTCGATGATGTTCTCGAGCCATTTGTACCACTGTAACAGTAGGAAGTCAATGTTGCTGTAGCAGTATGGTGTAAATGGCTGGCTGACGATTTGTTTGTTGAAATCATCCCAGTCGGTTTTCTGGTATGCGCGTTTAATAGCTGGGGTTGTTATTTTGCTCGAAGTTGGTAGGGACAAATAAGTTTTGTATGCGTGATGATCGGAACACTTTTTTCCGTTTGATGAGTATTGTGCTTCTAGTGCTGAGTCGATAGCCGAACTTAGCACAAGAGTCGGGTCAGTGGCAAGGAATACATCGAGGCTCCTGTCTTCGTGGCACGTGATTAGCTGATGTAGATCGTACTTTTCTAGAGTGTCCAGTATGTTGGCTTCGTATTCGTCGTTTGAGTTTAGGCTGTCCCAGTTTGCTTCTGCAAGATTTATATCTCCGGTTAGGATGAGTTGCGATGAGTTGTCACTAAGCGAATCATGAAGCTGTTTTAAGACGTCTTTTATGTTGTCGGGAGATGCTCTATACGGGCTGTTTTTGGGGGGATTGTAGAAGCAGCAGATTACTATCTGCTTCTGACGAGATTTGATTTCGATGGCAGCACATTCTAGTTCGGTTTTGAGTTCTATTCTGCTATGAGTTAAACCTTTCACTGCAATGAGGACTCCGCCGTGCTTAGTGTTCTGACCCGTATTGTGTCGATCTGTTCTGTGTATTGTGTAGTTTGATAGAAAGAGGGCCTCTTCTGGTACTGCAGTTGTGAGCCATGTTTCAGTTAGACAGATGATGTCGTAGTCGTTTGTAAGAACTGCATTTGCCAATGTCATGCGTCTACTAATGTCTAGCAGGCTCCTGACATTGAAATTTAGAATACTGAGCGAACTTTTAGTATGTAGTCATTGTTCTGGTTCTGGCGGAATATTTTCCCAGTTGTCTAGATTCTTGTCGTCAGTTTCGTTTGTGTTTTGTTGAAGCTTGAGGTTTCTGATTCGTAGACGTTTTTTGTCGTATTCGTTTTCGATCATCTTTCGGCGTAGTTTCAAAGCATCGTTTTCAATTTTTTGGTCTTCAGGGGATAGTTCCTTGCTCATATATACCTGTTTAGAGTAAGTTTTTAATTTGTATAGCGACAGCAGTATCAGCCGTCGATGGTGTTCGCTGGTTGTTTTGATTATGAGTGTTCTGTCTTTTTTGCCATCGTAGTTTCCCAATCGCCTTACATCATCGATCGGACAGTCGATTTTTAGGAATTCCAGAATACTTTTAACTTCCTTCACGTCGTGTTCGTACCGTTCTCTTGGCGATTTGGCCTTCGATTCTGCAATGCCTCGCACCCGTAATCCGTCGTAGTTTTCTTTTTTCTTCTGGGTTTTTGGTTCTGATGTTTTTGTTGTTCTGCTGGTGGTGAGTTCACTGTCAGGTCGTGGAGCCATCTCGGTTCTCAGGGAAGTTATCTGGTCCTTTATACCTTCGACGTTACCGATGTTACTTGTCAGGGATTGGAGCTGATTTTTGACTTCTTCAACGCTCTCCACTATTGGCTTTATGTCGTTGTTTTCTCTGGTGGATGCAAGTTTGTCCAGCATGCGGTCCCTATGGTTTAGGCGGACACACGCGTTGCAGATAAGTAGGAGGTTTTGGCTGACCTCACTTATCCCGAAGATTGCTCGTTCACTCATTTCGGTGCACTTAGGGGTCAAGTGCATTGAGTCTCCGCATGAGACACATAGAAACACGGCTTCCCGTGCCGTTATGGGATTTGTGCATGTTTTGCAGCAGTTTTTCGGTTTTGATGGCGCCATTGTGGAATGTATTGGGGAAGTGGAATGTGTAGGAATAGAAAAGGAATAGAAAAAAGACCCTTATCTCCTGCGCTTCGTAAGAAACTTAATTCCTACGATGCACTAGGGGTAAAGGCCTTGTTTGCAAAACGTGAGCTCATACTATTTCGCGCTTTCCAAGAAACTTAATTCCCAAGAATGCACTGAGATAGTTGGAACACAGGTTGGAATTGACAAACCGAAGTTGAAATTACCCGCACTTCTTAAGAAAACTGAATTCCTATAGATGTACTGGGATTAGTTCAGCTCGGTTGGGTATATATCTACTTATGCTCTGACTTTCCCGCGCTTCCTAGGAAACTTAATTCCTATGGATGCACTGGGGCGGTTAGAATCACAAGTACTCAACAAGAATGTAATTAAAGGCGAGGAGAGTCTTATTTATTTTTGGAGTCCAAGGGCGATACGCTTCTTGAGCCTGTCCTTTTGTTTCTTGCTCAGCTTCTTATTGCTTTCTTTTGTGCTCTGGTCGCTTTCGATTCTTGACTTCTTGTTGTTCTTGTAGCTCAGTCTCTTCTTCCTGCTTTTCTTGGGTCCAGTAAGGTCTGATTTGTTTCGGATTATTGTATTAACGAGCCGCTTTTCAATGACAATGTCGGGATGGACTTTTGCGATTTCGTACTTAAGCTGGATATCCTTGCGTTTTCTACTGGATATGAGATCTCTAATGGCGTCAATTACCAAGATTCCGCTGGAGTTGAGCTCTTCGTAAATATCGCGTGTACCTTCTCTGCGAGTGTAGACGATGGCCTCTATCTTGTGGGTGTTGTTTAGATGCCTAAGCTCTTCGACTAGTTGAGATGGGGCGAGGGGTTGGAATTTGTTCGTTAATGGGTTGTAGTTACTTCGGTGTTTTGTTTATTGTGTCATGCCAGATGACAAGATTTGATCGAAGTCGGAGCACACCCTGTCTTTTTACTAGATTTTGCACTATCTTCAGAGGATTCTTTGAATAAGGGTTCAATAAAAGCCCGGAGATGGCTGTGGATTGTCTTGCAAATCGTAAGCGTTCTCTGTGCCCCAGTGATGACTTCAGATAATTCAGGGAGCTGGCCCCCACAAAATAAACCATTTTGCATCATTCATCTATTTAATAATAGATGAAGAAACATTCATAAGTTATAATTTTTGATAAAAAATAATCCAGAACGAAAAAAAAACTGACTGATAAAAAGAAAAAAACTGTCTCATTGTTCTCTTCTTTTTCTGACCGCGGATAATGGACAGAAAAAAAAAGTCGGACAAAATTGTTCAAAAATCCTAAATCTTGGAAAACTCCAAAAAAAAATCAAAAAAGCCCTGGAACTCAATTTCCTACACCATAATATGATTTCATCAACAAGATTTTCGATTGGCTAGTAAAACTTGGTTGAATGACCAATGTCTCGGGCAATTAAGCAAAAAAAATGAAAAAAAGATACAAGGATAGTCGGTTGCTGTGCAAGTAGCACATGATGTTACAACCATATTCTTAAAAACACACAAAAAAATCTTTTCCATGGTTTTTTATATTAGTGTTGTTTTCTAAGCGTCGTGAGCTGAAATGATTTGACGAAAATATAGAAATTAATCAAATGCGACAGTCACAGTAAATTAATGAATTTTTGCCCAGTTCGATGAATTTTTGTGGTACCTGATTTTGCCTGGAAATCAAAAAAACTAAACACACGCGAATACAAAGCTTTTACCCACTTTCAATGGTCGGAACAATGGTAGGCTGTCAAACATTTTTCACGACCTTAATTTTCAGAAAGCAAAAAAGTTTCGATTCACCGCTATTCGTAGTGCCAGACTCGCGCCAAATCTCCACGACAAACAAGCAGAACCTGACATTGAAATTGCAACACAGATGAGGAGCATAGCTCCGCAACCAAGCCAAAATCACTCAAACATAGCATGGCAAATTAACGGACAGAAAATGAAACAAAAGAAAAAAATTGAAAAGTCTTAAATCTAGATCTAAAAAATTGTTTATTTTTTCCTTTGAAACTCGGGTCTCCTCAGTACTGTCAGCTTCATATGTTTGTTCCAATGCTTACTTAACATTCATTTGTCTCCTGTGCATTTTTTCTCGGAATGATTGTGATTCAAATTAAATAGACAGACTAAAAATTTGACAGAGTTAAGAGTTAAAAATCTACGAATTTCTGAAGAAACATTCATAAGTTATAATTTTTGATAAAAAATAATCCAGAACGAAAAAAAAACTGACTGATAAAAAGAAAAAAACTGTCTCAATAGGCGAAATTTTTATTCTGCTGAAAATAGCACGTATATGTAAAGAAGATTCGTTCATGAATTTTGCGCCATTTGCTATTTTACTTTTTTCTCAATCCAGAAAAGCCAGCAACTTGAAATGTGCCGTTCAGTGCTTGGATTCCATACACAACAAAAACTTCGTAAAACATTCTCGATATGAAGAAAAACTGGTTGGAGTACTTGTCAAAAACTGGTCGAGCTGAAATACTAGATATATTTCCAAATAAAGATGCTTTAATCAAGTTCTATAAAAGGGCAAAAATTCTATTTATTTATGCACAGACAAAAGAAAACCAAACAGTATCCCGAATAAATATTCAATTATAAGTCAGACTGTTTGAAACTTTCAAGATTATTTAAGAAATTCTGGACCCGCCACTGTTCAACAAACTAAGCAGCTTTTTACAAAATGGAAGGCAAGTATTGTCCGGAGAAACAACAGAGTCGATGACAAAAAGCGCTCAGTTGTAACTTACCTAAATCGAGAGTGTCCCAGTAAAATCCATTGGGCAACGAGTATGGCTCCGCTCTGATCTCCTCTTGGGTCTTGTCCGCCTCAATCGGCCCAATATCCGCCAGGTCTATACTAGCACCAATCTAAACGGTTGGAGCGGTGGTGAAGTGGTTACGTCTCCGCCTCTCAATCGAAAGGTCGGATGTTCCAGGCCCACCATGATCCGTGCTCGTTGCTTTGAGGGTGAGGCAACATTACCCAGCCCAGAAAAATAACAAAAAAAAATTGCATGTAGTTCTTAAACAGGGGCACAACAGCGGTTCGCCGTGTTGAGCTGTACAGCTCTTGTGTTGGTTCTTTCCCCCGTGGATAAATGGTCTTAAACGACATCAAAAATTGACCAAAATTATTACTATTAAAAAATCTACACTTTTGTCAAATTCATTTCAAATAACTCAGAAAAATTATTTTTTTAATATAAAACTCCTTTAGGGAGTGGCGGTGAAAAGGCTATATATCCGCCTCAAGATCAAAAGACCGGTGGTTCGAGGCCTACTATGATCCTCGTTTATTGCTTGAGGGTGCGGCAACACTACCTAGCTCAGAATAATAACTTGTAGAAAAATGTAGTTCTTTAAAAAGTGGCACAAGAGCGGTTCTCTGTAGAGATATATAGCTAGTATATTGTTCCTTTTTTTAGGACAAATCTCAATTTAAATTTTTTTGAATTTCCAAAGTTTTGATTAATTCCCGGAAAGAAATGATAGAAATTCAATTAACCAAATTTAAAGTAGTAATTAGTTTATTACCTGAACAATTTTTTCTCAAAATACCATAAGTATTGCATTGAAGCTTCAATTTCGAAAAAGAAAACTGCTAATTTGATAGACAATGGCGTAGTTTATTCGAAAAAAAAACAGCAAAATGTCTTCTTTTCGCAGTAGGCTGGCTCGGGCTTTTTTACACATTCATAAAAAAAAGTTTAAGCTTTGAAAACAGAAAAAAACTGGTTTGATTCTGATTCGTTGAAATTGAAAAAGAATTTGAACAAATTGTTCATTCGAAGGATGATGCCTGTTTGATTTAAAGTGTGGAAAGCATTATTTAATATTTCTTTTTCATTAAAAAAAAATTGATTCATTTAAATTTATTTTGGGCATAACCTCTTTCGGTACATGCGAACAACCTCCCCCTTTAATAGATCAATCGAATATTCTAACAACCCCCCGCCCCCCGTAACTAATTAAGAGGGAGATTGTTAATTTAGTCCTTTTTTAATATTAATTTGAGAGGAAGGCACAAGAAATACCCACTAGCTCACCTGTGGCACAGGCTGTGTGCTCCAGAAAGCGTAGTTTTTATTCTTGGCGTCCTCCTCTGATTTGACCTTATCATTGCCCTTGTCTGCTATCTGCATCAACTTCAGCTTCCGAGTACAACACTCGCCGCCTGTCAGTTCCAAAAAGACACATTAAGATGTACACTTCAGATGAAGTTTTTTTTATATGATGCACGAAACTCAAACCCTAGCAAATAGACATATTAAACAAAGCGTTCATGAGATCACCAAAATTGAGCGCTGTTACGTTTTTACACCCGAAAAAGTTTTATATAGCGGATTGGAGGCCAAAATTTTCAACCTAAAAAAAAACACGAAATGAATTTTCAATGCATCACTATCTTTTACATTCAAAGTATTCGTGAATTTAATTCGAAAGTAGTAAAAAATTTAAATTAAAAATTTAAGTATTAAAAATAATAAACCGCGAACAAAACAGATATTTAAAATTTCTGTTTCACTCCACAACTTGATATTAATAAATAATGTTTTTTTTTCAGGTGAACAATATTGTAACTTATCATTCGATTTCAAAATACATAAATATAAACGCCCAGAAAAATCACTTGTTTGGTATCAATAGGCCATTTCCGCCTTCAAGAAGTGATCGGTTCTTGGAATATCTAGACCCTTGATGCAAAAACAATTCTTTTACCGAGCTTGGCGAACAACTCAGAAACTAGAAATTTCATTTAAAAAAACAAACAAAACTAGTCCTTAAAACAGGGACACAACAGCCGTTCTCCGTGATGAGCTGAATAGATAGTATGTTGGTCCTTCCCATAACGGATAAACAGTCATAAAAAACCCATGAATCGCTTTGCCATCTAATGGCTCGGCCAAATCTACCATCAATCATAATCAAACCTTCAAAATCCATTAACAACTCTATCTGATAATTTCATTTCACGTTTTAACACATCCACACGACCTGAATAAATTTTGAAGCTTTGGGTTTTTTTTTGTTTAACTATCTGATAATTTCTGATAATCTGATAAATAAGTATCTGATAACTTTATCTGATAATTTCGTTTCACCTTTTGACACATCCGTACAATCCGAATAAATCAAACCTTCAAAATCCATTAACAACTCTATCTGATAATTTCATTTCACGTTTTAACACATCCACACGACCTGAATAAATTTTGAAGCTTTGGGTTTTTTTTGTTTAACTATCTGATAATTTCTGATAATCTGATAAATAAGTATCTGATAACTTTATCTGATAATTTCGTTTCACCTTTTGACACATCCGCACAATCCGAAAAAATTTGAATTTTTGGATTTTCTACTGACTAAGTATGAAAGAATTCGATCTTTTTCTTTAACAATCTTAGATGTACATCTCATTGCCTGGGTTATTGCAAGAGGGAGGCCCCGAATCCATTTTGATCATCTCGGCCGGTTTGATTTCCTGAGCCTCCATCCTTCTAACCTCGCACACCTGCAAGAAACTCCGTTTATAATAAATCATTATCAATAATATAAATAATATACTTCGTTTCCAAGTATAACTTCACAAAATAAGTTTAGTAAGCGTTTTAAAACGACAATTTTTTTTTTTGCATTTTGTCACATTTTGTCAGATTAAAAACACTCTTGTTTCTTCTAATGAATCATAAGTCTTTCGACAAAAAAAATTATAGCCAATTCTTTTCTTTAAGCCAAAAGCTAAGTTAAATTGCAAAACAATTTGCTAGCCAATTAATCTTCCTATTAAACGACGATAATTTGAAGTAACTAGTGTTTTTTTTTTAATTTCACTTGTTAGATAAAATTGCACTCAATCACAAAAAACTATAAACTAAAAATGCTCCCGTCGGGGTTCGAACCTTCTCCTCTATCGCACCATCTCCGTTCACAAGTTCCACGTTGGGTTTCTCTTCCATGGCTGAACAAACTAAAGACAATTGTTCCTTTCAAGCTAGCACCAGCCGACAGCCTCAAAGCAGTTATCAAGATGACAAAAACATTGCACAATCTGAAAAATAACAGCTTGTTCAATTAACTTTCGATATTCTCTTATAAAATATTTTCATTTTTTTATATATAAATCTGTTCTACTTTTTATATCAACTCCACAATGCAAACTATTCACTGGATAAAAAGCAAACCCTTTTTGTAGCAACATTTTTCTGAGACCAAGCAAATGGCTACCTGTGGTTGGCGGCAGGGCGGTCAGATTCATTTTCTAAAGCCCCAAAAACACAAAAAAAAATTGTAGAAAACATTCCAAAAAAGCTATTTTTGAGCAAATTTTTGGGAAAATTATCACTAAAAATAGCCTCATAATTAGTATATCGACTAAAAACTGGTGTCTTTATATAGTCCTTAAATGGGTCCGTTAAGTTAGTCCTTGAATGGGGAAGTTAACGCTTCCCTCACCCCAACCTAAAACTGTTTATGTCTCTAAGCATGTTTTAGGATGAGAATATTACAATATTAGTTCGCCTTTATTAAACTTTTGACTAATCAATCAAAAACCTAGTTGAAAGTGATGTAGAAAATTGAAATGTGTCTTCTTGATTCCATTTTATGAGCGTCCAATGAGGGTGCGTGTGTGCTGGGGGGGGGGTCTGGGTAATAAAATGGGTACCTTAATCTCTATGATGAGCTAGATAGACTCACTTCAACTTATGTCATGTTTCCGGCGAGACAAAAACAACAGGTTTGAAATAACATTGTTTATTTCATGCTGTAATCACAGTCAAGCTATATTTAAACTTTGTACAAATTAAACTCATTTCTAATAAAAAAAAAAGAGACTGAAGCTTAATCATAATAAAATAGCGCCATTGTTTCAACATAATCCGACCACTGAAATTCACAGGTTGAAAAGCTTATTAATCAAATTAATTAACTATATTCCACCTCTAAATAGAGTTACATGGGACAAAAAACTTCTTTAAATATCATCATCAAATCTAGATGAGATCTAATCCTATAGAACAAAAATCAACGAATGCGGAAAAAATCTAAACCAATCAAAAAAATTTGAAGAGAAATTATCGGACCCGGGTAAGACAATTCTTGTTATTTTAACAGTAAAATTGGAATTCTTTTGAACGTTTTAGGGTACTCCCCCATCTCTAGAATTGATACTGTATGGCAGCATGCCTTGGGAGGATGATACTAAATAATATTGCAGTTGAACTTTAAATTTGACTAAACCGAATTAAGTATGCTGTTAATTCATGCAATAATTAAGGTACTCCTTGAAGCCCGTTGCTTGCCCGGGTTGGCCTGCCATAGATAGCTATCGCTGGCTCACCGATGCTCATGTTTTATAAAAATTTTCAGCGATGAATCAGGGTTATTTCATGTGTTGTATAGTGTTATTTAGTTCACATTGCAAGCTGTCAATCAACTGTTCACTCATGATGCTAGAGTAATTTATTAGCAGTTGTTTGTCCTTGGAACAGTATGTCACCCTTGGATACTGTTTACAACCACTCTCTATGCTAACTTTGTAAGATTAAGTTGACTAACTTTGTATTGGAATTTACGATTGAACGACTGACGTTTTCTCATTCTCAACATGGCGCAGCCAGCAGTCTCAGGTGGGGAAAGAATCCACTGGGTATCACGGGATTCTGGCCAGCGAAATTTAAGGAACCGCCTATGATGTGGGAATTCTGGATTAACTGATTCCAATGGGGAATGGTAGCTAAGCACTCAATAAAACCGAAGAACTACTACTACGCAGCGACTCTCACAGCCACCCAGGTTACTGCTTTGCCTGAGAACGTCGATGGAAAAAATCGACTGGAATCAGAACAAGTACTAATTTCCAATTTCTATTAGTGTCTGGGAGAGAAGGGGCAAGATGAAATACACAAGAGACGACCACATCTGGATCTATCAACGGTTCGTTACCCTAGGATGCTAGACGTACTGGAGACGTATGTTTCATTCCTTTCCTTCTTAAATTCCGAGACATTTCAGCTTCTCTCGCGGAAACAATTTATTAATGAAAGTTTGGAGCAATTTCATTCTGTACTTAGCGGACAGGCAGCCCGATGCAATTTTGGAACGTTGGAGGATCGGATACTAAGGGATGTATTCATTGTGAACATGAATAACCGGGAAGCACAAAAGGAATTATGCAGGTCAACGAAAACACCGAAGGAAGTCTATCGGATAGCTCTTTCGTACGAGCGGGGAAACAAATACGCGACATCTTATGTTGCCACGGGATCGGTGGGAGCCCAAGGATCATCATCGGTAGGTGGCGGAATTCAGATCAAATCTGAACCAGTCGGAACAATTCGTGGAGGATATAGCAACAATCGCGCAAGGGACCGAGGTTCATACCAAGGGCGGGGATCAAATCGATTTGGAAATTTGTCTCAAAACAATCGATGCTACAACTGCGACCAACTAAACTTCACAAGAGAACATTTGGACAGATGTCCCGCAAGGGGAGCTATATGCAATTTTTGTCATAAACTTGGACATTTCGAACGTACCTGTAGGGGGAAGCGTGGAAATCAACGAGGACGGGGATCGGTCGGAATGAAACGGGAGAATGTTGACGATACACACCTGGAAAATACAGCGGATGAAGAAGCGTCACAACATGCAAGTTCCATTGGATGTGTTAATAAGCAGCTCAGACGGGGATTATATGGTAATGGCGATAAAACATAAACGATTCACGGAATTGAAAGTCGCTGATGCACAGTTGCCGATTAAAATAAATGGGAAATCCACTCGTGTGCGGATTGATAGCGGGACTCCGATTTCAATTTTAACCATTGGGGAATTGCGAAAAACCTTAGGAGCCTCCGGAATAAAGTTGGAAACCCTTTCGGAGGAGGACAACTTATTTCGAGATTATGGGAACAATCCATTGCAGATGCTTGGAACGATGGCTGTAACGATACAATCCAATGGCTGGAAGATACACGCGAGGATAACAGGAATCGGAGGAAACCGCCCATCGATAATTGGAAGAGATTTGATGCCCCAATTAGGACTACAGTTGGTTCAGCAATCACCGGGGGATCAGATAATGTCCATTGGGGAAGTGAACCAGGACGCATTGGAGCCAGAGGGAGAGTTGGACTCTTGGCGAACCTATTTCAGTAAGCAGTTTTCAAACCTTTTTAATAGGGTAGGTAAAAAAACTACAAAGTGCAAGCAGAATTTTTTGAAAACCTCACCCCAGTCCAACAGAAAGGACGTCGAGTTCCCATTTCATTACAAGAAAAAGTGGATACTGAAATCGATAAACTATTGAAACAGGGTCAAATCGAAAAACTGACAGAATGTTCGGACAAATATTTTTGTGTCCCCAATAGTAATAACAATAAAGAAAGATGGGTCTGTGAAACTAGCGCTCGAGTCAAGGGAATTAAATAAACAAGTGCATAAGAACAAATACCAAATGCCGAATATTGAAGAATTAATGGACACAGTGGGACAGACGATTAGCGAAAAAAAATCAGGGGACATATATTTCACCACGATGGATCTAACATACGCATATGGCCAATTGCCGTTAAACGCTGAAACGAGTGTACAATGTAATTTTTCTCTCATCGGAGGCCGCTCGACGGGTTTGTACCGGTTTAAGACTGGATTCTACGGTGTAACTACAATGCCAGCGGAATTCCAACGCGCAATGGATTGTATACTCGCAGAATATCCGCAGGCGCACGCGTTCATCGACGATAATTGGGTCGTAACCAAGGGAACCGCGATTGACCATATAGCAACAGTAGAAAAAACTTTAAAGAAACTGGATCGGGAAAATATGTCTCTAAAACTAACGAAAATCAAGTTCGCCCAACGGGAATGCGAGTGGCTAGGCCATAAAATAACACATACTGGAATAACTCCATTGGTTAGAAAAACAGAGCCAATAGAAGCGCTAACGCCGCCGCGAACCCTGTCGCAGTTGAAATCATTCATGGGGTCAATACACAGCCTGCACAAGTATCTACCAGCGCTAGCTGAATCATCAACGCGATTTTGCGACCTTTACTAAGTAAAAGTAATGAATACATTTGGACCCCAGAATGCCAGAATGCATTCGAAAATCTGGGTCGAATATTGTTGAACCACGACATTTTGATATCCACAAGGACATTCGCATAGTGTGAGATGCAAGTCATAACGGGCTCGGTGCTGTATTGGAACAGTTAGGACCGGAAGGGTGGCGCCCAATTTCGTTTGCCTCGCGATACCTTAACGAAGCGGAAAATAAATATTCAACAAATGAATTGGAGATGTTGGCAGTTGTGTGGGGTGCTGAATATTTTCGAATTTACATATTGGGCCGGAATTTTTTAACCGTCACTGACCATAAAACGTTAATATCTCTTTTGAATGGTAATGATAAGAAAAACAAGCCGATGTTTAGCCGTTTGACGCGCTGGTTAGATCGGCTTATTCCCTTTGATTTTCGAAGTGAACATAAGCCAGGGGCGAAAATCGGATTGGCGGACTATTTATCACGTCACCCAAGTAGAGAAGCAACGCCAATTAGTACGTATGATAACATGTTTACTGTGGCAAAGATCAACTTAATTCGCACCGCTCTCGGTTTTAATGATAGTAATACATCCAGGGGATACAGATCCTCCAATTATAAATCCAAGGGACCGCATATCAAACCGGAAAGTAATCAATCTATAAAAAGATTGGAAATTTCGTCACGAGATGAACCGGTAGAGGGCGGAAAACCATACGAGCGGAATTCGACCAATCAGATTCGAACACGTGGTTTAAGCCAACGGCTACGCGAAATACGCAGTAAATTAGTTGGTGCTATTGCTCAATTGGCAGAAAGTTGTTTACAATTATCAAATTATGAATTTCAAAGCTCAAAGTCTCAAATCGGAATGGATAGAAGTATGCGAAAATGGCAAAAATTTTTGAAACAGCACCCTAGGCTGAATAGCAGCAGCGATGAGATTGAAGAAGTGCCGCCGAACGTATCCCTGGAAGCCATTACGAAAGAAACGAAGTCAGTATGAACA